TTGAACAGTCGGCATATCTCGAGTCATACGACAAAGTGATGAACACTAATGTCCGGAGTATTCAAGTATTGACTCAATTAGTGGTTCCATATCTCGAGTCAACCAAAGGAAACATTATTAACATCTCAAGTGTTTTGGGATTAATTCCCGTAAATATAGTCATTTAATTGTAGTATACTCAAATATCTAACATTAAATTTTAATTGTCATCCAAATTAGTCAGCCAGGGCAATTTCATATTGTATGGCTAAAAGTGCATTGGATATGTTTACTAAATGTTTAGCCCTAGAGTTAGGCCCCAGAGGTGTACGTGTAAATAGTGTCAAGTAAGTTTTGATTTTATTATAGTCGTAAATGTTATTAAATATAAATGTCATTAAAGTCCGGCAGTAATCCGGACGCCATTCTTCGAGACAATGACTGGAAGTAAGGATTTATTGTCGGTCACTGAAAAGCAATGTCAGGATAACTATCCGCTGAGACGTATCGGTGAACCGGAAGACGTGTCGGAAGCCGTGGCATACCTGTGCTCACCGGTCGCCTCATTCATAACGGGTGCCATTTTGCCGGTCGATGGCGGCTCTCTTAGAGCTCCTATTTCTCGGGTATAATGTGAGACAAAATTTATTTAATTTTTGTAATAATTTTTATAATTATAACTCTAACTGAAAATTAAATTCATTTGATAAAATAAAAGTTAACTTTAATCAATAAAAATTTGTTTTATATTATTTATAAAATTATCACGCTTAAAATACATGCCCGTATAATTTTATCTGTGAGTAATTTATTCAAGTTATTGCTGTTTCCCGAATTTTTAATGTTTTAATTATGATGCCATTAATTATTATTATTACGTATATTATTATTATAATTACACACACTGATATAAATTTAATTCTAAATGACATCTAGAACATTTTGTGAAAAGTATATACACTGTTTAAAACACAATTATAAGTCCCTTACTAAAAACTATAATTAACAAATAAGGTACAGGTATTAAAAAACTTTTTATCATAACATACTTATCAGGATCTTGAGAAATTTATACAAATGTTAAGGTTACAAATCTCTAATCAAACTACTAAATTAGTAGTACTAATGCCTACTGTATGAAAAATTGTATTTACTGTAAATTTTAGTAAATTTGTATTAGACTTCAATAATGAATTTTAATGGAAACGTAGCTTTAATAACAGGTATATTTATGAATAATAAATATTTATATTATAAATCAATCAATTTTCAAATCTAAGGCTCGTCTTCGGGTATCGGCGAAGCAATTGCTCTGAAGTTGTCGTCTTTGGGCGCAAATGTAGTCATCACTGGAAGGGATGACCAGAGAATCCAATCTGTGGTCAAAAAGTGTGAATCATTTTCCAATCAGAAGGCACTGGGAGTTAGGGCTGACTTAATGGTCGACAATGAAGTCAAGGATTTGGTACAAAAAACTATCGCAGAGTTTGGAAAAATAGATATTCTCGTGAATAACGCTGGTGTGGGCTGTGTCACCAAATTTGAAGACCCGGCATATTTAGATTCATTTGATACAGTGATGAACACTAATGTCCGGAGTATTCAAGTATTGACTCAATTAGTGGTTCCATATCTCGAGTCAACCAAAGGAAACATTATTAACATCTCGAGTACATCTGGACTTAAACCCGTAAATATATAAATATAATTTAACTTGTTTATTCAATTGATTTTAAAAACCATCGAAATATTAGTCAACAATAGGAATGTCATACAATATGGCAAAGTGTGCTCTGGATATGTTTACCAAATGTTTAGCCCTCGAGTTGGGACCCAAAGGGATTCGGGTGAATAGTGTCAAGTAAATGATAATATTAAAGTTATTTACTTAAAATGGACTTGATTATATTATAATTACTATTGAAGTCCTGCGGGCATACGAACGCCAATCTTCGAGACAGTGACCGGAGATAAGGATTCATTGACCAGATTTGAAATGCACTGTAAGACTGACTATCCGTTGCAACGAATCGGTGAACCTGAAGATGTGGCCGAAGCCGTGGCATACCTGTGCTCACCGGTCGCCTCATTCATAACGGGTGCTATTTTACCGGTTGATGGCGGCTCTCTGAGATAACCAATTCCTGCTTGCTCATTTGCTAATTACTATTATTATAAATACATTTAAAATGTTATAAAATAAAAAGTCTACTAATTGTCAATAAATAAATATTCTATTAGTTTATCCGGACTTTAAATCTTTTATTATACATATATCACAAACTGTCAATTATTTAATACATTGTAAAAAATCAATAATATAACAGTACAGTACTTAAAATGAACTTTTTAGAAAAAGTACAAACTAAGTACATAAACTATACCAGAGTACATTAGTATTTAAGTTGTAGTCAAATTGAATTAGATTTACAAAACATTATTTTTTCTCATAAAAGTTAATTTGTATTTAGTTTTTTACGAGACATTTGTGATAACATTTCTAAATATGATGTCTTTGAAAGGAAAAGTAGCTTTGATAACAGGTACGTTTAAAATCATATGAATTTATATTATATTATATAATATATTGAAGGCTTAAATTGAAGGATATTGAATAACTTTCCCCTGAGAAGTATGGGTGAGCCGGAAGACGTGTCGGAAGCCGTGGCATACCTGCGCTCACCGGTCGCCTCATTCATAACGGGTGCCATTTGGCCGGTCGATGGCAACTAAGCCATCGAAATAAATAAATAATTTTCAAGAATTTAATTTAAAAAGTTTTATAAAAATAAACAAATATTATTAAACATAATTCATCTTTGTCAGAACAAATCATTATTATTATTGACATAAAGGTTAAAAATCATACACCTACTTATTGTCAATAAATCAATTAGATAGTATATCAGTACTTAAATAAAATTTACTTTTAGAACCTTGAATAATTTAGTACAAAAATAAGATAATTATTTTGTACTGAAAATACTTAAGTCGTACCAAAGCACAGTAGTATTTAAGTTGTAGTCAAATTGAAATTGACTATAAAGATGAATTTTAGTGCAAAAGTTGCATTAATAACTGGTAATGTCAAATAATAAATAAATACATTTTTATTTTATTAATTAAATTATCTTTTATAATAAATTAAAGGCTCGTCTTCGGGTATCGGCGAAGCAATTGCTCTGAAGTTGTCGTCTTTGGGCGCAAATGTAGTCATCACTGGAAGGGATGACCAGAGAATCCAATCTGTGGTCAAAAAGTGTGAATCACTTTCCAAACAGAAAGCACTTGGAGTTAGGGCTGACATTATGGTCGATACGGATGTAAAGAATCTGGTTCAAAAAACAATCGCAGAATTTGGGAAAATAGATATTCTCGTGAATAACGCCGGTATCGGACCGTCGGCTAAATTCGGTGAACCCGGGTATTTGGAGTCATACGACAAAGTGATGAACACTAATGTCCGGAGTATTCAAGTATTGACTCAATTAGTGGTTCCATATCTGGAGACTACTAAAGGAAACATTATTAACATCTCAAGTGTCGCCGGACTTAAACCCGTAAATAATTAATAATTAAAAATTTTTCTAAAATTTAATTATTTTTTTATATAAATATCAAATATCAAATATCTACAAATATCTAACATTATAGTCTGGGAGGGTTATGCCTTACTGTATGGCCAAATGTGCACTGGATATGTTTACTAAATGTTTGGCCCTCGAGTTGGGACCCAAAGGAGTTCGCGTTAATAGTGTTAAGTAAGTCATGAATATTATACTGGTTTTTATGAAATAAATTATTCAAATGTTTTATAATTTCAAACCCAAGTCCTGCGGCTATTCGTACGCCAATCTTCGAGACAATGACTGGAAATAAGGATTATTTGAATACAGTTGAAAAGCAATGTCAGGATAACTATCCGCTGAGACGTATCGGTGAACCGGAAGACGTGGCCGAAGCCGTGGCATACCTGTGCTCACCCGTCGCCTCATTCATAACGGGTGCCATTTTGCCGGTTGATGGCGGTGTACTTAGAGCACCTATGCCTGCTAGATAAATTACTAATTTTTAAAAATGAATTTGAAATTTTTAATAAAATTAAAGCATTATTATTAAGCATATTTGTTTTTTATTTGCATAATAATAATAATACGTTAATAATAATAATAATAAATAATCATAAATAATAATAATAATTGATAACTCATTGAAAAACTTGTTTTGAAAAATGCATGAGTATTTATATAAAAGATTATTTAATTCATTAACAGACTTAAGAATAGATCTGACATTTTTAGGCAACCTATTGAGCAAATCAAAGCAAATATATAATCAAATCAGTATTACGGTATTTTAAAAATACATCAGTTTTGAATAATTCAGTTATTAGAGTAAATATTTGAATAACAAATACAGCCAATCAAAATTTTGTATCTTTCTTACGTCTATCTGCGAAATAAGATTAAATTACATTATTGTTTAAATTTCATATAATTGTCGTAAAGTGATCCAACTTTATAATAATTTATATTAATGTATTTATTATAGTCAAATTATTTACTTTTTAAAATAGCTAGATTATTCCATATCTACTAGATTTCTATGAAAATCAACATTTTGTTGATAGAGATTCCTATAAAGTTTGATTTAATTTAATATCAAACTTATGAGAACCTTGAGAAAAATGTAAAACTTAAATTATGGCTTATTGATTTGTGTCAGATTACATTGTTTCATTCATTCATTTGTGTCAAATTGTCTGATTTGCGTCAAAGTAATATTGATTTATGTCAAATCTCTGAAATCATAAGATATAAACTTTTATCTCTTACAAGTTTGCATAAATTCATTGATTAATAAACTTCTGGTTATAAAATTATAAAGCATATAATTTACATATTCGTTCATTTGTATTAATTGTTCAAAATGTTTAAAAATGTAAACATCATTAATAATTGTTTTCCATAAATAAATTAACTATCAATATATATTAATATTTTATCATTACTTTCTTAAATTTAATACCTTTTTACGATTTCAGGCTTTAATTTGGTATATAACATGTCTAGGTGCTACTTATATTTAGTTTGTTATTTAAGTTTTAAATCGTTCCCAATTAATTCTGATCACTCTGTATTGTACTTTAACATTAACATGAATTTAATATTATTTTAAATAAAAATGTTTTTAAAAATAAAATATCACTTTAAAACTAGTTTTTTAACCAGTTTTTTATTCATTTTTTCTTTCCGTGCGAGAACATTTACTCTTATGGGTGCACTCGACCACTGGCTGGTAGCTTTAAGTATTATGTTCTAGGTCAAAAACTATAAGTCCTAGAGTGAATCTGAGAACAGCATTGGAAAGAACGTAAAATTCTACGGATACATGGTGTCAATGGTTTGTATCCAAACTTAATGGTTAGAGCACAGAGAGGCCGGGTATTTCAACAAATCACATCTTTAATTAATTATAGAAAATTAATCAACATGTGTATAGCAACGTTATGACATGGAAAATGTAGAGAATTTAAATCTCTATCATATAAAAATGAAAAATTTTTAACTAATTTGTAGCACCGGGAGGAAAGGATGTATTTTATAGAGAGGAAACTACAAGTTTAAGCGCAAAACTAATTGGTGCGTTGGATAGAGCTCGAGATATGGGTTTGACTAATATTTAAAATTTTTCAATTATCACTACAAATAAATGTGCTAGAGCTGTTCAAATATCTCATTTTCCCATTGATAGATGCCATTGAGGACAGTTATGTATTGTTTGATTGTTTTCAATGTTTTCAATGGAATTTTTTTATTTAATTTTTTTCAATCACAGACTGTATTAATCCATATTTAAATGAAATCATCGCAGGGACTGATAAAACTGAAATAAATGTATGTGGCAGTGTTTTGACATTCAATTATCTCCTAAAATATTATACATTATTATTATTATTAATTTTATTTCAATGTTTTCTACAAAATAACAATAAAATATTTAATTATAATTGTTATGATTATTACTGTTTTGTGATGAAATCAGTGAAGAAGTCTGTGTTTTAAATGAAATTAAATGTTTTCCTGATATGTAAATGAATAATATTCTGTGAATTTATATTTATTTCATAAATAATACTCAACACATATTTTTTTAATGTTACTTCATCACTTTTTAAATCATAAGGTATAAACTTTTATCTCTTAAAAGTTAGCATAACTTCATTGATTAATAAACTTCTTGTTATAAAGCTTATAATTTACATATTCGTTCATTTTAATTATTGCAAAAATGAATTTTAGTGGAAAAGTAGCATTAATTACAGGTATATTAAACAATTTGTTGGTTTCAAATATAAGTGTACCATAAATAATGAATTATATTTTCAAATCTAAGGCTCGTCTTCGGGTATCGGCGAAGGGATTGCTCTGAAGTTGTCGTCTTTGGGCGCAAATGTAGTCAT